TGGAACTCAAAGAAAACAACATCAGCCTAACCTAAATCGGCACGGTTTGGCGGGTTTGGTTGCCGCACTGAAAGCGCGCAAGTTTTAAAAATGCTGAAGCCGATTTAGATTTGTGAGGAAAATTAACTTGCGAAACATAATATAAGCAGTGGAGGCAAGATATCTCCTGTTTATCCCTTCCATTAAGTATTGCGTGTCACTAAGAAGTTTTTAATCAATGTGTCACGTTTACGGATACGAACTCTAATCTTTTATTTATGTAACTCTTCCCTTTTTAGCACAAAAACACTAAAAAACTTTAAATGACTGTCTATTAAATTTGTTAGCGCGCTTTTTTTGATTTCTCTTCCACGACTAGCGAATATCCGCTCGAGGCTAGCTACACAAAGCATTGCTCATTTCTATTTCCCTTACGTCAAAGTGTAGGAACTAAATTCGCCTTCTATTAGTACGTAGTTCAGTTGCGAGGAGTCTTTGCAGCGAGAATGAATGGAAGGGAAAATTTCCCATTAGTTTAAATCTAGCAGCTGTCATTAAATTCGTCTCCGACGACTGCGTGTCATAGGTTTGGTGTTAAAACAAACCCCAGTCCTGCAGGAATTTATGCCAAACACTTAGACAAGGTATTCTGGATGAGCTTTTTGCTTTATTATCAATTATAAAGAGAAGTTTTGTTTGTGAGTACATCTATAAATTACACTCAAGTGCAACCCATATTTGGTATCGGGAATTATAAACTGTCAAGCGTTCTAATACATACCCACGAGTTGAGGTATCCTGAAACTTGAGAAGTTATTTGAGGTCATTGCCTCTTCGAGGGTAATACTAGAAACTTAGTGAAAAGCTAGTCATGAAGATGATTGTAATAAAAAGAAAATGTCCTCTAGAATATTGTTACTTACTAATTGAAAGGGTAACGAAGCATGATCTGGATCATCGTGAGTAGCCCAAAACAGGATGCAACAAAACTAAGAGATTGTGGTAGTAAGTATGAGCAAGAATTCGTCTAATTTGGATTTGAATCCCTTTCGAATCCTCGCACTGTTTTGGCTGAGAGACCTTTTAATGGCTTTTATTCAGGTTTTTAATTACAAAGGGAATTGAACTCGAAAAATCTCTAAACAATTTATAGAGAAAGAAATAAATAAGGAGACAGATACATGGAAATAACGGAAGATATATATTTCAACGTACTTTATAAAGGTATACTAGATTCGATACGATGCCAAGCGATTTGAAAATAATTAGCCGCAATGAGACAATTATTCGGTTTTGAATACGAATTGGTCTTTGTTGTGTCTTGACTTAATAACATCTTTCATTATTGATACCATAAAAGGTTCTTTAAGCACAACCGCTTAGTTACCAGCCAGGTGAGTTTGTCGAGGTTACTATGACAACATGTCAACTGGGAATTGCAAATATGGTTTCCTCCGCGCAAAACAAAATTCCTCGTTCGATAACGCTTCAGCCGTTTCACTGCATTAAGCTACTATTTCCATGACTTTAATTCGACTGATTTAAAATAACGTTACAAAACACTTTCTAGAAGTACAGCTCCTTCCTGTGGCAATGAAATAGTGCCGCTCCTGTTAAGAACGCTACTCGACCCTTGCCGAAAAAAGCCTTCCTCTTTTTGCCCAGGAAAAGGGATTGGGACACAAACTTATAAAACAATTTTATATTCTCTAATTGTCTGTATTGTATCACCGAAGCCAAAAAATAGTTCATTGATAAAACAGCCTGAAAGTTCTGTCACCCTTATAATAATCCTCGCGCTTTGGGTTGAGACTTGTCGCACTTTGTTATTAAAAAAAGCTGTCGCGTTCGACGTTTACTCTCGTTGAAATGCAAATCGGTTATCTAACAAAAACGGAGAAAATGTTTTCTGACTTGGGGAATTATATGGGAGTATTTTATGCATACTTGCATAAACATTTTACCGAATCGATCCATCCGGCGAAGTTAATGATAAGTCAGTTTCAACGACTAGCTTCATCTTTGTGATCGAAAGATGGTAATTATTTCCATTCGTGCAGATAAACAGATGGGAAACTCGCATTAACTACCGGTAAGCAAGATACTTCTTGCGAGTCTTCACGGTTTGATGGCTTTTGCTACTAACTGTTGAAATTTGGCTATTTTATATACAGCATACGTTTGACTGATTTCTTTCCGTCCCGTTTAAAAAGAAAAATCTTTAAGTGAAACATTATTATTCGACCTATGGCCAAAATAAGTCAATTCTTTACGCCTGACGGCTAATTTGTTTTTGCTATTTCACAGCCAACGGCGGGCTAACCCTATTGAGACCCTGCTATTTCCTTAGGTAAATAGTGTTTTAAGCGAGGTTCGGGAATTAGTTTAAAAAAAAAATAAAAGCTTATTTTATTGATTCATAATAATCTGCAGTGTTATAACAAGCTTTTTTCGTATCGTGTTTTTTTCCAGTCGTTATTGCGTAAAACAGCATTCTGCACCTGGTGAAAACAATCTCATTGTCCGTTTATGACGGAAAAATACAGTTAAAATGCGTCAGAAAAAAGCGATTGAGTGTTATGTCCATTAACTTGTACCTCCTGCAAAGGACTTTGAAATTCGTCGAAGAAACTGTCACATAAGCGTTGTGACCAAGTCACTAACCGTCGGTAACTTACGTTTATCCTAAGCCTGATGAATTGCGTGATGAGTGAGAATAAATTTGGTAAAATGCTCACAGCCATGTCTGTACGTTGCGTGCTGAGTAAGTACGAAGTTTGCTTTGTATCTTGGTCAGGTTTTAGAGGCAAATAGTGGATGATGAGGTAAAGATAACTTGGTATTAGAAAATCCTACAACTAGGCCTTCCCCAATTAAACCAGAAAAAGCGATAATTAAATGGACCCCTTCTAACTTTTTGATAAAACAACGAGAGAAACTCCTGCTCTTAAGTCTTATGATTAAAAGGTGAATGAATGGTTAAATGAATAAATGAATAAAACTAAAGGAGGAAAAGTGTGTTACCTTTTTCCAATTTCTGTAGGATGCAAAATTGGTTGGGAAAAATTAACCATAGTAACGCAATTTTTGGGTTTTAAATTGTTATTCATAGTTGTTATCTTTTGACGGTCTGTGGAACAGCTTTTCGCAGCGATATATAGGATAGAAGGAACATAATAAACTATATGTAGCCACTATCCTCTGAGGATACTGTGAAAAGATTTCTCCTGGGAAATACATACTCCATCCAGAGGTGCCAGTCTTGAAAATGAAAAGAAAAACATATGTACAAAAAAATAAAAAAATAAAAAAAAACAATAACAACGATAATGATGAAAAGATCTCGTCGACTACGGCCAACAGAAGGCAAGACAGGAGGCACTTTATGAAACGGTTTGTAGATTTTTTGCGAAGTGTTGTCTGAACTAACACCACCTCCTTTGTCACGAAGCCGAGAGACGATTCCTGTTTTCCACCCAAAATAATTTATTGGTCTGCGATCTAACTTTACACTTAAAATTCTGAAAACCACACTAAATCTTACGATCTCGAACCTTATTATGGGTAGTCGTTTACGTCATACCTATTTCTAAAACACTATTTCTAGCAGAAAGAACATTCTAGACGCTCATGATGACAGATCCTTAAAATAACTCAGCAGAATATGTTCCGGAATAAGAAGAAGTTTCTAGCACAGCTAATAATATAAGTGATGCGGTAGTTCAATGTTCCAAATTGTTCTTTCAATTTCTGGAGACTTCGTTACATCCTACCAGAAAAAAAAAATCCCAACCCATACAGGAAAAAAATTTCGAGTTTTCATTGTTCTCTATCGTTCCCAGGAGTCATATGGACTCAAATATCTCAGTTAACTTCTCTGAAATAGAGTTTCAACAACTACCACAGCGAGTGGTCAAACTGGTAACCTCTTCATCCGCGATTAGTACAAAATTTACTTTACCACATTAAAAGGAATATTGCTACATTTACACGACATTAAATGTATCTCTTAATATTCTTTCTTCTAGTTCTCGTGATAGTGAGGTTGAAAGTAGCAGGTAAGACTGCGAAACTCCTAAGTCAGTTGATTTGAAACATTTCCCAGTAGACTTAATAGAAAACCAAAAACAAAGAAGCAACAAAATCAGACTCCCGAGAAATGGCTCAACAATCTTACGAATGGATGCAATTGGTCTGATATAGGTGGGTTGGCAAAAAAGCAACAAAGATAATGGGAAAAGAGTGATCTTTCAGATACACAAACTACCGTATATAAGTTAAAATCACCAAAACGAAAACAAACAAACAAACAAATCCAAAGCAAACCAAGACAAAAAAGAAAAACAAAAACAAAAAAAATCGACGACAACGAATACAAAGAAAGTTTTAGGTTTCATATTATGCGAAAAAGCCGTTTCCCATCATCCTACCAAACGGTCGAACCTAGAAATGTAAATACAAGTTTTGCAGAACTTTTGTTTGTTGCATATTTATCTGACTTGTTTTCATTCGCAATACGCCGACAAATTTGTTCTTGTTTTAATTTCCATTTCTCATAGAATGCCACAGTGACTGTTTTGAAGATTCTTGCTACGAGTTTAAGAAAGAGGAAAAAACATGGAAAGATGCCAGAAACGCTTGTAAAGAAAAGAGAGGCGACCTAGTTTCCATTGAAACTGTAGAGGAGTGGGATTTTATCAAAGGCGTGATTCAAAAACAGAGTGCAAAAACGTGGTTTATTGGCTTAGAAAAAAGAGCTGGTAGTTGGACATGGGTGAGTGGAAGATCACTAACCATTTGTAACTGGAAAAATTATCAGGGAGCTGTAAATGGTCGTGTGGCTAGATTACACAAAAATAACCGCACCTTTCTTCATGGTAAAGGAGAAAAGAAGAAATATTTTATTTGTGAAACTGCAAAAGGTAAGACAACCAGAGACTAATAGAGCTTCTGACGATCAAAATCCAGTTTTCTGTCGATTTCTGCTTCGGAATGAAATAGTGTTGAGTAGGTGAGATACTGACTACAGCATGCATTGCTCAGCAAACACGAAAAGCAGCCATTAACTCTAGTAGAATACTTTCTTTATTGCAAAATGTTGCTGCTTTACACCTAACTATGTATTTTTTTTTCTTGTGCTTAATAACCTCTTTGTGCCTCATTTACAATATTATGCGCGTTGTTCAGGTATTGGAGAGAATACTTCGCAAGGTTACTGCTACATGCCTGTCGCAATACCTTGCAAATTGGAATATGATAAAAAGAACTGGACACAGACTTGTAGATTTTCTGGACATTATTGTAGTATGAGTTGCACTGTTAGTGCTTGTGAGCCCTCAGAGGAATTTTGCGGACAAAAATGTGCTAAGACTTTCAATCCATTGGTACAACAATGCACTGACGACAAACACGTGAATAGTACCTATAACCAGACTTGCAATGCTACAAAGTGTGATTTAACAGAGGGTGAACAGAACTTTAGTACAAGAAACACCTGCTATTGTGAAGATGATGAATGTTCTAAGACTTGCAGTGATATAAAGTGTACGCAAACTTGCAGAGGAAGAGAAAACGGTTAGTAGAACTACAAATACAATGGTGTTATTGATCAATGACAGGTTTAAAGTGTTTACTGACCAATTTGAAATAGATTTGAGACGTGTTTATTATTTGTCAGATTGCATTATTGCTACTGGTTATCGCTCTGCTAGGGCATGAGGAGTGGTGTTTCCTTTTGGAGCGAATGGCTCGTACAAGAAGTGGGTGCTTTTTAAATCTTGGAAGGTTATCCTTATTTACGTCGGTGATCACTTTATTTTTTTATATACCCGTGCAGGTTTGGAACATGCGAGGTTTTTTTCAATAGTAGCAAGTTAATAGAAAGTCAACCAATCATTAAATTATTCAAAAAAACAAGCAGGCAGGCAGTTTAATTCCTAATTTTCCCCATAGATGAGGAATTATCTGTAAAACGCATATAAAAAAAATAAAAAAATAAAAAAATAATGAATATGCCACGAATGAATATGGGTACAGGAAATTATGATTACTTTGGCTTTTCTTGATGACGTATTTTAAATTTATCACTTTTACGGGTGGCATTATCATACTCACCGTCATCAGCTACAGTCCCTGCGTTATCAGTTTCAACAGTGACCCAACCGTTGTCATCACTGCCACTAATCTCAGCAACACCTAACGCGCCGTCGCGGTCGCCGTCGCCGTCGTCGTCGTCGTCGCAGTCAATACCAACAGCAACACCATCATCATCATTGGCATCAAGAAAAATTTCAAAGTTGGTGCGTGTTCTAATGAATCATAGTCCTTGCACATGTCATCTTTCTAGATGTTCTATGACGCTTCATAAAGATGATTACCAACCTATTTATCCTAGGAAAATGAATATCGTTCCAAACTTGAAAGAATAAATGTCAACGAAAAGGCTTCATTGCAGGTATCTGAGTTTCATATATTAATTTATTTATCATTATGCAAAATTCGTGTGACATAG